GAGTACCACCTCAGTATTCTCCATGACTCGCTGACCGACCTCACCACACGAAATTGGGTTCCTGAATTTCCTCCCATAGAGCATCTCAAAATGAGGTCGATCAATGTTGGCGTGATAACTGTTGTTATATGAAAATTACGCTAAGAGAAAATACTGTGACATCCCTAAATTCACGGTCATTTTAAAAATTTTATTTATGCTTATTTGAAAATCAGAGTATTCATTTTAAAGAATAATATTGCGGAATTTGTTCCCAGAAAAACATGATAAATACATTATCAAAGCATTTCCAAAGAAATGTATTTTATTCATTTTAAAACATTGGGATGTCATCGTCAATACAGAAACATAAGTATAAACAGACATTACATTCGTTTACACTAGTGATTTACATCCCCTTTAATCTCTTAGTGTAATGCATCTTCGCATCGATACCTGTGATTCAAATAAACTAGGCGGGTCAGGTTGGAAAACCTGGTGAGTACATAGGGTTTTCAACCCACAAAGGTAAGGTTATTATTTTTCATCATCAAACAATTAACCCAGTTACCCATCCCCATTATCTTCTTTATTCTTAAGGATCTGCCCTAAGAAATCATCTATTCTTCATTTATTCATTCCTAAGGATTGTCCTAAGGAACAACCACGAAGTTCCACCGCTGCGAATGGAACAGCTACCAATGTTATATATTATATTAGGCACAACTGCGAATATTATCATTTAGGCGCAGCTGCCAATATCATTTAGGCGCGGCTGTCAATATTATCATTTAGGCGCAGCTGCCAATATTATCATTTAGGCGCAGCTGCCAGAATTATGATGTTCTCTATTAGGCACAGCTGCCAATATTATCCTTTAGGCGCAGCTGCCAATATCATTTAGGCGCAACTGCCAATATTATCAATTAAGCGCGGCTGTCAGAATTATGATGTTCTCTATTAGGCACAGTTGCCAATATTATCCATTAGGCGCAACTGTCAGGATATTTAGAGTACATCTGGTGAACACTTAAATCAAAAATACCTACAGGTTATGGCGCAGCTGCCAATATTCATCTATATCATCTTTCATTCCTCATTATTTATCTACTCATGCTCTACCCAACATATTTGTAGATATAAAATACATATACAGTTTAAATCATTTAAAACATGTATAAAACGTTCATCCATCATAGATATCAGGAACATAAATAATATGCACACATAGCACGTAATTTATATTAAATACTTCATATCTATGTGTAAGATGAAAGTAACTATGCACTCACCTGATATTCCAAGTCTATATCTCAAATCGTAATTAATTCCAAGTCTTAAGTGAAATCCCCCCTTCCAAAATATTTTATAAATTTAATAAAATGCGTCACTTAAATATTTCTTCCGATACGTTTCCTCGAGAATTTGTCTCCACGTATGCCTATTATTTAAATGAAGTTGTACAATCACATATTTAAACAACACATGTTATTTTTAATTAATAAAATATGTAATGACCTTTCTTATATTTCTTGGTTTTCAATTTACAAATTGTAGTTACATTTATGGTCCCTCGGTTATTCTCGTATTAACACAATGTATCCTTCAAGTTACACTATAGCCCCTTAACTATTTATTAATAAAATCATTATACCCTTTATAATCAATAACTAATGCCGTAAAAAGTACTCGGTCAATTATTATTGAAAAACGGGTGTAACGGAAAAATTATCGTTTCACTACTTGCATTCACCCTTAAATGTATTTAGACCAAATACGTCTTATATAGTTTGAGATCGTTACAATTTTCTTTAAGATTATTTATCCTAAATACTATTCTATTTAAAAATGTTATTTTATCAATTTTCGATAAGTTTATAACAAGAGTTATACAAATATTACATACCCATAATATTTGTCCACATAGCACGTATATAATAAATAAGTATTTATATAACCTGTAACGCATACGAAGAAAATTTATCCTACTTGAGGATTTTAATTATTTGATAAATAGATATTTATTATTGTTATCCCGTTCACGTTTAGCCTAACTCTCGGGCGTTACAATTCTCCCCACTTAGGATGATTTGGTCCTCGAAATCACAAATCTAACGAATACATACGATCTCCGCTACTCGCTTTTCTTTATTATTATTGTTATTATTATTATTATTATTATTATTATTATTATTCAAGTAAGAGTTGTCTTTCGCACTTTTGCCTTAATGGTTGGTTCTCCCACACTTGGGTTCAAACTCTTTTCTGCTGCTACTTACAACCAATCAAAGCCCAAGTTGGATCCGTCTCTATGATTGTTAATATTCTTTCTCTTTGAAAGAAGCTTATGATCGTCATATTAATGACTTTATCATCACCAACGTAGCATCACTGTGTGTGCTCGTAACGAGTGATCTTCTTGTTTCTCAAAATCATGGTCTGATCAATATCACGACAACGTAACCGTGTAAAAAATGGTGTAAGAGGGTAATACTAGCAATAACAACAGTTGCTAAACTTAATAATTTATTTTCCTCTTTGCTGAGACGATTAACTTGTCTCTCTTCAGTTGATAATCTTAACCACATCTAAAGTACTTGGACACAGACGCATAACAAACATCCTTATGTGTCTTCTTATCCTTTCTACATCAACTGTAACTCCTTTATTTTGTTAAACGAGTATCAAACTTTTGGACTTCTTAGCTGTTGGTGGTGCCCGAACTTGCACTCACTCTTCATCCTATGTCGGACCTTCAGTCCTAGCATTCGAGTTACAAACTCGATCTTTAACGGAGACTCTTGCTTCTTCTTAAATTGGGTCATGGACTTATCCCAAGATAAGGTCTTTACTTTGGCTATAACAATAAGTCGAGTGGCCATATTCTAATGACCTTCCAATTCATAACGCAAACATCGAACTAGACTCTTACCTCTAAGAGGCGAATATTATCACGGAAGAAGCCTTCCTTCATGTTCTAATGTGATATAGTAGCACTTCTGGCTACAAGCATCTTACTCTAATGGTGATCGCGATACTTCTATTGATCGCTTCGATTATCTTTTACTTCAATCTTCTGGCTTAAGTCAGATGCTACATCGAGCTTGGTTCTCTGAACCATGTAGAATACATATCTTAGTCGGACTTGATATGATATGACCAATAGGGTTGGAATAACAATCAGTCTTAGTTTAATTACTGTTCTTCTATAATATGGTTCATTGGTTAAGTTGGTTAATTCAACTTCTGTATCATTAATTGAATTTTTTATATTAATAATATCATGAGATAATTGTCTTAGATGGTTATAACTCATTTAAAAATTCTCTAGTTAAAAAATCGGGAAGACTATTATCACTTCTTTTTTTATATTGAATTTCAAAATCAAATTATGCTAATGTTGTTTGCCATCTAGTAAACATTTGTTTAGAAACATCATTTATAAAGTCTTTATTAAACATGAATTTAGCTGCTTGACAATCTGTCTTTATAATGAAATGTTGATTATATAAATCATCTTGAAATTTAAGAATACATTTAACTAATGCCAAAATTTGCTAGCAGTAGTAGAATAATTCTTTTGACTAGGAGTCCATTTTCCAGAATGAAATCTGACTAAGAATTCTTGTTTATTGTTAGGGTGAATTTGTTTTAAAATTCCTCCAAACCCTATTTTAGAGGCATTAGTGTCAACTATCTTTTCCCAATTTGGATTAGCCAAAGATAAACATGGTAGATTTTTGACTTTATTTTTTATTTTTTTAACTACTTGGGTATGATTATCAGTCCAAGCACAAGGATTCTTTTTTAATCTATCATATAAAATTACACTATCAACTGATAAATCTTTATAAAAAGGTGATTTATAATTCAAGCTATCTAAAAGTCTTTGTAGTTGAGTTTTATCTTTTATTTCATTTGGGAATTTCGCAGCAAAATCTATACTTCTTTATATAGGAATGACTTGTCCCTTTTCAACATTATGATCTAAAAATCTTACATTTGTTTGGAATAAAGACATCTTAGATTGTGATATTACTAAACCATTGTTTACTATTATTGCTTCAAAAGTATGCAAATGTTCAAAATGTTCTTGAATATTTTTCGAAAATACTAAAATATCATCTATATATACAATTATAAAATTGCTATAAGGATTAAATATATCATTCATTATATTTTGAAATTCTGAAGGGGCATTTTTTAAGCCAAATGGCATAACATTCCATTCATATTGTCCAAAAGAACATTAAAGGCAGTCTTCTATCTGTATTTTTTATCAATCTGAATTTGCCAATATCCGGATTTTAAATCGAACTTTGAAAATATTAAAGAGTCATGTAAACAATCTAATAAATCCTTTTTATTAGGAATAGGATATTTGACCCATTTTAAAACCATATTAGGTGGCTTATAATATATCACTAGTCTTGGTATTCCTCTCTCTTGTTCTGAATGTTTGTTAACATAAAAAGCAGTACATGACCATGGAGATTTAGAACGCTGTATTAAGTTTTTATCTAAGAATGAAGTTATTTCCTTTTTACATATATTCAAGTATGCGAAATTCATTTGACAAGGTTTTGCCTTGGTATTCCTCATAGGGAAGCATAACTTTATGTTTTTTCCTTTCCCAAAAAACATTAGGATGATCGGTACAAATTTTTAAAGAAAACTAGGGAAGATTCCCGCTTTGTGGGATTGGACACGCCAAAGGAATGCACAAAACGGAAACATTTTGTCTTATTTTGGGGTTTGGGTCGGAACAGATATGAGTCATACCCAAAAAAATCAAATGTTTGGATCATAGAGCCCAACGTCATTCAAAACAGGAAGTATTAAACAATATCATCAAAAACACCAAAAATATATGATTTTTAAGGAGATTAACGTCAAATAATGAAAAAACTGAAGGAATAAGTCATAAAAACAATTACCAAACAAAATTGCTGCATAAATTATTAATAATATCATTCAAAAACAGTAAAAAGATCTGGTTATTATGGAGATGAAGCATCAAATAAAACTATTGACATTGTCTGGTATTCCAAGTCTATAAAGTAGTAATCATCTTTTACAATAAAAAGAAATAAATAGGCTCAATGGAATAACTAATTCCAACCATTACATTCCATATCATACAACATCTTCAATTTGTTTTGTTATTTCCAACTTCTCATCTTCATGTACCTCTTACTGCACAGGAGGAATGCAATAGATACCCAATCAAAATTCATTGCTTACATTCTCTCCATTTCTTATTAAAGTAAGACAAAATTAACAGATAGAGTGAGTAAGTCCTGTTTGTTTGGTAATACTTGAACAGCATAATTCTATAACTTCTCTACCCAATGCAAATATTAGTCCTTTTTTTTCTCTTAAATATATGCTCAATTCAGGAAAATCTATGTCTGAGAAGCAAAACAAATCACTTCCTCCATACAAAATTAAAAATGGGACAGTTATTGATTTTAAATAATATAAAAGATAAAAAAAAGAAAATATAGTTTATTTAACCTGAACAACTTCATTGACATCTTATAGCTGTTAAGCACACAATTCAGTTGCTCACCCACCATTTTTGTTGCAACAAACCAATTTTAAACGCCGACCTTTGAGCATATCAGCATAAAGATCAAACTGGATCATATATGAAAAGTTGAAAACTTAGCAATAAAAATGAAATAAGAATATGAGAAAGTGGGAGAATGGATTACCTACCGAACCAAGTTATTACCCATTTAATTACAATTCAAGCCTATACATAGAAAAAAAAAAAGTAAAACTCTCACATCTATAAATCGTATACCTAATAATTCCTATTAAATGAAATCAAAAGGAGATCAAATCATATCAAGTTGCCTAAAATTAAAAGCAAAATAGTTTAATTGCAATCATGTATAAAACGATTCCCTATTTTCTTATTAAACTAAGACAAAATTAACAGATAGAATGAGCAAGTCCCTTTTGTTTGGTAATACTTGAACACCATAATTCTATAACTACTCTACCCAATGCAAAATCCTAACTTTATATATTTGCTTCATTGGCCTTCTTAGTGAAGAAACTGTGAGAATCTTTCCAACTCCAAATATTTTGTTCTTCACCCCTTTCTTTCAACCACTAACCCAGATTTTGACAATCTGTTGAATCTAGAAACATCAAAACAAAAGTAGAACATACAATGAAAATAATGTAACCAATAAATCCTAACTGGAAATGTAATTCAAGCTGATTTAGCCATCGAAAACACCTTCCCTGCTTATGGTATATTCCTGAAGTCTAACTAACATCACCTGAGAACTAAACAAAGCAAAGTAAAAGAGATAAATGTTTGGGTGTTTAGAATCAAACAGCATGCCACCAGTTATATAAAAGTTAAAGTAACATAAAACCTTTTCTATCTCATTGTTTTGTCGTGTCTCGGATCTCCGGTACCTGATCTTCATAACTTGTTAATCACATATTTCTAACTGACCCTCTTATTTTCTTCCAAAAGAGTTGGCATTGAACATACTATTTTAGTTATTGATTCATGTCATTAATCTCATTGAATTAAATAAACGCCAACATTACTTCATTTAATAATTACAAAACGAAAAAAATTATGTATTAGGTCCCCCTGTTCAGGCTATCAATCAACATAACTAAAAAAACTTCAATCTAACAATTTCCATTAGCCATTCAAAAGAAATTAAAACCCTAAAGCAAGAGATATGGAACTAACGTTTGACATGTTCAATGTGGTGGCCATCTGTGTTACCTTTGTTCTCAAATTTCCAAGCATATATCTGCGTCTGTTCGTTTCTTTCTCTGTCCTGCAATCCAATAAATCAAAACAAATTCATTCATTACAGCTTCAATAAAGCAAGAATGATTGAACAAACTTAATAACTGGCTTAATAAGTTCTACTTACAAGGGTTGTTTAGCGGTCAGAGGAAACATGTACTCAAATGATTATACTAACTGATCTCAGAGAAACAATTGCTACAGTTGGATAGATTTTTAATGTACAATTTTTAAATAGAAAAAAAAATGTCAAAAAGTTCAAATATTTGATTCAACCTGTCCAAAAAAGACCCAACTGAGTTACAAAATTAAAATGTAAGCAGAAGGAGGAGTCGATTGAAATTAGAGGTAGATGAAATCCAACCTGTGAAAAGAACCATCCATTCAAATCGGTAAGCAGGCTGGCGGAGACGGCATACAAATCCACGAACACACATAGACACGCTGTGTACTGTCGACATTTCCTCTGATAAGTCAAATTGGTAGATGATCTTCACATTAGCGACTGGGTTGCTCTCTGTTTCATCAAACTCTGAATCACCATCGGTTGATTCTGTCAATCTCTCCCAATCTGTTAGTCATTTTTTTTTCTGTGGAAACAATTCCATACGAACACAGAGAAATCAAAAGAAAGTTCAGCATAGAAATCAAAATAAAGTTCAGCATGCTGAAGAAAGAAATCGACAAATTACTTTGATTATGTCTTCCAGAACTGCTCTTTCTCATCCCAAGTCGAACATCGAACGACTGAGCAGTGAAAATCTGAACCAACCTAAGCATAGAAACAAAAAAAAACCAAGATTATAGAGAGCAAAGGAAGATTATGAATCGATCTTCGAAGGGTACCAGTAGGTCCTTTTACATCTCTTCTTCCTTCTCCCTCCATCGCAATCGACAACGTGGTGACTGGCGGTGGACAGAAATCATCGACGAAATCAGATCCGCAAACCACGATGGAAGAGGTGGAGTCGGAGGAAAAAGGGATCGGTGGAAGGTACTGGAAGCTGGTTTGGAAGGCGGAGCGTATTTTAGAGAGAGATGGAGGGTTAGAGGCGGTGGGCGGAGGGTTTAGAGATAGACGGAGGGTGTTGGAGAGATAAATTAGATGAGGCGGTGGAGGAAAGAAGTCAGGGTGGTATATCATCTGCTCTGTCGATTTGTAATTGGTAGCAGTGGGAGGTGGGAGATGAACGTATAACACGTAATAATGTATCACAGAACATAACACGTAGCAGTTGGACTAAAAAGAAATTAAAAATCAAAATCAAAAGTGGTCCAATCAAAGCAACTCCTGTTCATCTAGCACTTAAAAATTAGTATATATATATAGTATATTCCCGGGTTCTGCACCCTGTTTAAGGGATCATTAGCCTCCTTTGGCCTTCTTACTGTCCCTAGAGAGCCCCAGCAAACCCTTATACGTGTGTGTGTGCTCCATTTGTGTGTTTCAAGCTTTGGAAGGGAATTCTTGGTGAGAAGAGCTTGGAGATCTAGAGACTAGAAGCAAGGAACGTGTGGAGATCAGAATCTACCTCAGTTTGGCATCTATTGAAGGTATCAAGTCGTAAACTTGGCCTCCTTTCCTTCTAGATCTCATTTGGGTGAAGTTTAGGGCTTTTCTAGCTTATTAGGAATCTTTATTGTGCATGAGCTAAGATCTGAAGTTGCAACTTCAGCTCTGAACTCTCTTGGGTCTCTAAAACCATAAAGCTTCCGGATTTTGCAAGTATGAAACTCTCCTTGGATGTAAAACTCCATTTCAAGCTTGGATTTGGCATTATGAGTCATTAGGACCTTGCATGCATGTAAAGTTTGCAACTTTACGTGATAAACATGTCTTGGACAACTAGATCTGCAATATGGAACCTTAAAACGGCTTAAAAAGCATTTGTATGGATTAAGGATTGAAGGGACTCGGCGAGTTGCATGGTCAACTCGGCGAGTCCGATGAAGATTGTCGTGGAAGGACTTCTGCATGAACTCGCCGAGTCAGTGGGGTGACTCGGCGAGTCAACTCGGGTTTTCCCGACATTGGACACGCATGACTCGGCGAGTTGTAGGGAAACTCGACGAGTCAGTGGGGGGATTTCACGACTACTCGAGTTCTGGAGGGACTTGACGAGTCGGTGACTGTACTTGACCGTTGACTTTGACTTTGACCAAGGGTTGACTTTGACTTCTGGGGCATTTTGGAAATTTATGAACATTGTGGTGTGTCGAATATAGGTGGTGGAGTTTGTGGCAGTTATCCGAGAGTGTGAGCTTACTATTTCGAGTCGACAGTTGCGAGGTGAGTTGTCCTCACTATACTCAAGGGTCTAAGGCACCAAGGCCGTCCATTTGGATTGTTATGCTATGCTAGAATCATCTGTTAGATCGATATCCTAGAGGGTAGGATAATATTATGTGGTATGTGGTATGATCTGTTAGATCGGTATCCTGGTAGATAGGATGGTATTATGTGTTATGTGGTGTGATCCGTTAGATCAGCTGTTGTCTATAGACTGTTATGTGATTATCTGTTATATATGCACATGTTTGTTTGGCAGTTGAGGCTTATCTACTTTGTGCGAAAGCCAATAGACCTGGGCATTCCAACCTGTTGGTTGTGGGCCGTGAGTATTTCATCCCGATGATGATTGGACTCGTAGTATGTGGGCATTCCAACCTGTTTGTTTGAGGGTCTGGGTATTCCAACCCGATGGTTAACTGGACCCATAATATGTTGTTGATGATTATATGTGTATTGTTGTGGGTATAGGTATTTTGGGGGAACTCACTAAACTTTCGGGCTTACAGTTTCAGTTTATTGTTTCAGGTACATCAGGGGATCGCGGCAAGGCAAATGCGTGATCGTACAGCTCCTCATGTTTTATTTATGTTTCTGGGAAAACTCTGACATTATATATATATTGAAAACAAGTTGTAATGAATTGATGGTTTTGGAATGCTTTTAAAAGTTTAAATTTGGCATGATTTTTATAGGTGTTACAGATTATGATGAAGTTTTTGCTCCGGTGGCAAGAATTGAGACGATTCGAGTAATCTTAGCCCTTGCAGGCTCGAGCGGATGGAGGGTACATCATCTGGATGTGAAATCGGCTTTCCTAAATGGAAGTCTAGAAGATGAAGTGTATGTAATGCAACCTGAAGGCTTTGAAAGAAGCAATGAAGTAGGCAAAGTTTACAAACTCTCAAAGGCTCTGTATGGACTAAAACAAGCACCCAGAGCCTGGAATGCTTATATAGACCAATACTTAAAGAGACTGGGATTTATGAGATGTTCTCTAGAGTACTCGGTATACACAAGAAAGAAACAAGGGAGGATCTTGATAATAGGTGTTTATGTTGATGATTTGCTGGTCACTGGTAGTTGCCCTGATGATGTGAAAGAATTCAAGCACGAGATGAGAGCCAAGTTCGAAATGAGTGATCTTGGATTGTTGACATACTATCTGGGAATTGAAGTCAGTCAACATGATGCTGGAATAACACTCAAGCAAGAAGCCTACGCTAAGAACATCCTAAACAAAACTCGAATGATAAATTGCAATGCCACAAGATGTCCAATGGAACATAAGCTAAAATTGACTAAGTATGAAGAATGAGAATTAGTTGATCCCACTGAATACAGAAGTATTGTTGGTGCACTCAGGTATCTCACACACACACGTCCTGACCTCTCATTCACAGTAGGGGTAGTTAGCCGGTTTATGGAGAAACCAACTGTCAAACATCTACAAGCAGTAAAAGGGATACTTAGATACATAAAGGGCACTCTCAATTATGGTTTGACTTATACCAAAGGAGAAAGCTGAATTACTCTCACATGGTACTCTGACAGTGATTTCGGAAAAGATATGAATGTTGGAAAGAGCACATGTGTGACATCATTCTACATGAATGGTAATCTAGTGACATGGGCCTCACAAAAGCAACGCAGTGTAGCTTTGTCATCCTGTGAAGCAGAGTTTATGGCAGCAACCATGGCAGCCTGCCAAGGTATTTGGCTTCGGAGACTTCTGTCACACCCCTAAACCAGAACAGTGGAAACGTTCGGGGCGGAGGACTTCATGTAAGTATCACAAAACATGAAATATAGTAATCCAAGTACAAACAACCATTGCATTAATAAGTATAAGTTTTACATAAGTGTTTAAACATTACATATTCAAACACCAAAGTAGGTACAGTAGAAGACAAGAGTCGCGGTATGGTACTAGGTAGTCTTCTCAAAAGCTTCGGGAGTGTACCTGTCTACTGGATTCCTGAGAATACAAGTTATTTGGAAAGAGTAGATTAGCATTTAAGCTGGTGAGTGCATAAGTATTTTAGTTCTGTTAAGTATACCCTAAGTTCTTTGGATAAGTTCACTGGTTCCTCCAGAAAATCATATATTTCCTGAGGTGATTAACTGATAACCTCAATAGTTTCCCTCTGTAATTACTTTGTTTATACTAATTATATATAACCTAATATCAAATGGACAGTTAAATGGGTGTATCTGCCCTAAGCCCACAACCAAACAAGGAACAGTAAGTAAGGCAGAAGTCATACATTTCACTGTCAATCGGATATTACTTATGTATAACTATGATGTAGCAACTAAGGAATTATAGAATTAACCACTAAAGGTCTTTTATGTTATACTAGTTTACAGAGATTGAATGACTAAGTTCCATTTTATAAGTAGTTTAATTCCATAAACCGTTTCATTTGTAAAAGTGGTTTAATCCCATAAACCGTTTCATTTGTAAAAGTGGTTTAATCCCATAAACCGTTTCCTTTGTATAAGTGGTTTAATCCCATAAACCGTTTCTTTTGAAAGAGTGGTTTAATTCCATAAACTGTTTCATTTGTAAAAGTATTCTTAGTTATATTGTTCTATAGTAAAAACCTTAGTATTAATCCTGGAAAATATTATATTATCCATAATACTGCCCTGTGGTTTTAAATGTTCAAAACCAGAAGTACAGGTATATTTACCATACTTGATTTCATGATACGTAGCTTTTACTGTAAGTAAAAACTACAGAAGGTATATTTGGTCGGGATGTAATTATCTTTTCTTACTGTTTTAAGAGAAGTATATTACTTAGTAATTCACTTGTTGTTTTATCCATGTGAGTTCTATTAACCATACTAATATGACTGATATGCCTGCGGCGACGTTCTTCAGGCGTCGGAATGGTATGATATTTGACACCCTAGGCCTGCCAACCAAACTGTAGCGAACAGTAGAGGTGCGAGATTGTCAGTCCCATATAGATCTATACACAAATTCACGCTCTCCCTACAAGAGATTATTGTTAATAGATCAGGACTTAAAAGTCGTACTTAGATAAGTACACCGTGAAGGGTCTCACAAATTTATTGTTTCAACGAGATTTACGATGTATTATTATTACCCTGTGATTACTAACTTTGGTACTCTGTATCGTACCTTTGTTAATGCAAACCTGGTATGATGTATTATTACCCCGTGATTGCTAACTCTGGTACTCTATATCGTACCTTTGTTAATGCAAACCCGGTATGATGTATTATTACCTCGTGTTTGCTAACTCTGGTACTCTGTATCGTACCTTTGTTAATGCAAACCCGGTATGATGTATTATTACCTCGTTTTTGCTAACTCTGGTACTCTGTATCGTACCTTTGTTAATACAATCCCGGTATGATGTATTATTACCCCGTGTTTGCTAACCCTGGTACTCTGTATCATACCTTTGTTAATGCAAACCCGGCATGATGTATCTTTACTTCTTTAATATGTTGTTCGTATATTAAAGGTATTATACATATCTTGGTATAGTTGAATGAATTTTGGTAATTTCCTTGGAAAGTATACAGTCGTGAATCATACTTGTATATTTAGTTTTGAATCATAAATTATACCTATTATAATTTATATGTTCTATCTGATTAGCATGATTTCTCATGGATGAACACCTTTGCTCAGCCTGATACAAAGGTAATGATACCAAAAGGAGTAACCTTTTATACTAATATATATATATATATATATATATATTATATATTATATTATATATATATATATATATATATATATATATAATTAAGAAGTAAACGACCTTCGGACAAATAACACAACCTTAATTCCACATCCAAACAAGGAAAAGG